CGACTATGGCTATACAGCACCAGACGATGTAAGAGCTGAAAAAAGAACTTCCTACCATTTTACATAGGGCAATAGTTCACTTCATTATTTATAATTTAGTAACAGATTGCACACTGACAAAGGAAATTTGATATTTCTGCAGAAATCACAAAAAGAAACGAGAACTTTTTCCCCAGACTGTCATCTGGCGTCAGCATTGTCAAGATGCTGTTTGACATAGGCACATTAGGTTGTGCGCTTGAGCTCCCACTTTCAAAATGTTATTTCCTAATTCTGCCATCTGCAAATGTAAAATGGACAAGTAATACAACCATTTTAAGAAATGAAAAGAATTTATCAAGAAGTTTTGGAAATATAAAATAAGTAATTTAAAACAACTCTTCAATAACCAGTTATGAGGGAAAGAGTCACAGTTATGGGAATTGGTCAGTTTTAAACGTTGCTAGGTAATCAGTAAATAAAGCTACACAATTTATACCATATGCATATAACCCTGAAGACTTCATGATGGAGAAAAGCACCAAAAATGTACATGCCAGTCAGCATTCTAACACATATTTTCTTTATGAACAACTGACCTTCCTGGAAGAATAAGATATTAGCAGGAAATGTTTTTAATAAAATCTGAATACAAGGATCAACAAATGAGCACCAAAACCAAATGTAGAGCTTATGGAAGAAATTACCAAGTTGACATAAGCAAAAGAAAATCAAAACTATGATTGTTTGTGCACTAATTTTTGCATCATAATTCATGATAACCAAGATTAAATGAACTTGTCTAAACTTTCACTTGCAAAACCCACTTGGCTCAGAAAAACTGAATTCATGAAAATGACTTCTGTCAATTTTGTTGAGAGAAAATCTTTTTGAATAATCTTCCAGAGTAGATTTTGTGATGCACGACTTCCACCTTGAAATAAGTGAAAGGAATTAAATATTTACTAGTTCCAACCTATAAATTAACTGGCATCTTTTTGATATTATTATTGGCAACTCAATAGAGGGTAGCAATTTGCCAATGATTATCAATGTAACTTCAAAATAAAATGAATATTAGCCTAATTGCATTTCAAAGACATAAATGTCACTGTTACATTTCAGAATAATATATTTTATAATTACTTTTTAGCATAATCTTGAATTTTAATTTTGTGTAATTCAGACATGCCTGCAAATTAAAAAAGGAATAAAAATAATAACACCAATAAAAAAACATTAGATTAAAGAACATTAAAAATCACTCCCACTATACAAATCTTACAAAACTTATTACTTTCTAAAAAAGACCTCATGTACAAAGGAAATGAAAGGAAAGAAAACATTCAGAAACTATGAAAAAAATTGGTTCAGTGGCTGGTTAATAATAATATTAATAACGCACACATAATATAAACATGAAAAATTTGTCGAAAGATCTCTCCTTTTTCTCCATGTAGTAGTCAGTTTTAAACTTAAGATTAATTTTATGTTCTCAGTCAGTTTAATGAGTTTAAATTTACTTATGGGTCATGACTGTAGGTGGGGCAGGGAGGAGGAGAATGACACACTCTTATTCAAAAAATTACAAGATATATAAGTCAATAAAATAAGATAAATAAGGTCAATAAAATGGCAATCAGTTTTTCTCAATTCCAAATCTGCAACAGGGCAATCATCTAGGAAACCCATGAATTGAAGGTTGACAAATCAATGGGTAAATTTGAACATGCATATCAAAACTTGCACCAAACATATATTGCAAATTATCCATTACAAGACAATAAAATAAAGACGAATTTGCAGTTAATATCTATGATGTGTCATTAGAATTTTGTGAAGGTCATAGCTTTCCAGACGACTATCATAAAATAGACATTTTGAGACATGTCAAAATTTAGCCACCAAAATGCTTAAGATGCACATAATTGATTTTCAGAGGATTAATTTTAAATCAATAAAGTTAGATAAATAATTTTTAAATTCAAACACATTGATATTAATTTTCTTCATTTATTAAGCTATTCCAATATGTTTTCAGATTCTCAAATTTCCTAGAATGAAAGTCAAATGTGAAACTGCTAAGGATTTTTTAAACAAGTCATTAGAATAGGTTATATTACAATTAGATTCTTTCTTTAATGAGGAAAACAAACAATTCATAAGTTATATCATCCACTTTATAAGCATACAAAGAAACTTGATATAGTAAAATAATAGAAGGTACTATGGTTGACTATATGTAGTTTGCCCCATTTGATAGTTGATTAATAAATTCCAAAAACTGAAGTTTTTGGAAATCTCAAATGTGGTCTACTGATGTAAAAAACACACTGAGCAACTAATTGCTTGGCAGGAATAAAATATATATTTCAAGCAAAATGGTGAAGAGAGACTCCATCATAATTTGGTATGGTTTACAGAACAAAATAATATTATTTATTTAGTGCTCCAAAAAGAGTGAACTCTTGTCAAACCCACCTTCAGACAGGCTTTGGTGGATCTGAAAACTCTCAGAACACGAATCTAATTAAACAAAATGTAGTATGAGGAAACGAGCAACTTAACATATTCATTGATTTATGAAGAATCAATGTTTATACGAACTATGAGACCCATGTGAGAACTCTAGCATGTGGAAACTGGACCACCCCCTTCCACACATCGGTGGAAGAGGGAAAATATGTTGGCAAAACATGTTTTAATAGCTCTCAATTCGAGATACTGCACAGCATATTATTACCAAGGAGTGTGATATGAAAAACTGAAATATTAGAAAGCTGCACAAGATCTTATTTTATCAGTTATGGCATGAAAAACAACTCTTAGACCTTCGACCTTGAAAACAAGATCCTAGAATGAACCCTTAACATATAATTCACAACCGCCATCAAAATGCATATTGTAAAGTAGAACCTGAATTACAGGATAGCAATTGCTGCTTGAGCTTTTCAACAAATATTATTATTTCCAAAGTGAGAATGCCAATCACCACTTCTATGTGAAATTCTATTTTGATACCGCATTTGTTAAGATTGGTTAAGTGCGAGAGCCACAAAATATCATTCTCTTTAGAAATTATTGCTTTATGGTCAATTCATCCATTACACGTTATTTGGGAAAGTGGTAAACATAGTATGTTGCACAATCATTGTGTGACAAAAATGGGATGTGACTATTTAAGGAGTTAAAAGTGAAATTACCAAAAACAACAGAAAGTAGTTTAAAGCAGAGCTAAAGAAAAAAAGCTTAGCTAAAAATATGTTACAACAGCAACCCAAAAAAATCACGTATCTTCATTTTTTTAAGGTGAACTCAGACGCAGAACTCACTACAGGAAGATTTCTGAAACAGGAGAACTATGAAAAATTGAAAAACATTTAATAATTAAATTATTAGGTGAAGTCAATCAATACCTTTTTAAGTTATTGTTATAAAAATATACATTAAATTAATAAATATTTTCGTTAATATTTTAATACCATAATGACTTAATGTAATAAAACATTGGAAATAAAATAGGAGAAAAAAAATACAAGAACGGCTGTGATTCAACATTTAGAGGTAAGAGGTTACACAATTGTTTTGAAATGTGTCACTTTACTATGCAATACGATAATTTTTGTGTTTATTGACCATTATAAAAATACCTACTGCTTATATCAAGAATGCTGCATACAAGAAACAATGTCCAAATAAGCAAGTTTCAATTAAACAAAAAAAGAACTACACACACACACACACATTCAATCACACACCTGAAGGAAATCTGGAGATCTCTTCATAAAATGATCAAATAAAATAACAAAGGCAATCAACATGACAAGAATAATATGTTGATTACAACTCTTAGGAACCATCGTCATGAAGTAAAACTTTTAGAAACCATGCCAGAATGACAAGACACACAAGCCCTTGAAATTACTGCTGTGAACATTCAGTTTACACTTTCCATAGCAATGGAATGACTAGTTATTCGCAAGACATAATTTTTATTTAATTTCTAAGCGCAATCTGAAATACTTAAATTAACTAATCTTAAATTTGTTTTGCACTGAAGAATTCATTTTAGAACCTAATTTAAGGTCTTAAATTATATTTGCTCAGTAAATAGAAAACAGATAACCCAAAAGAAATCCCAAATGTTTAAATGGAGAACATTATTATGCCATTAAGCACTTTGCCACGAGAAACAATATTAAGCTAATAAACTAAGCAAAACTTCAATAATACAATACAAAATAGGAGCAGAATATTAAGATTTGTATATTTTCTTTACATATTACCTGACAACAAAGCAAGAATTCCGTCGATTGAAAAAGGAATTGAATTTATTTATAAAAATGTGATCTTATATGACCTTTACTTCATTCAAGCATGCGATGCAAAAACAATCTAAAATTTATCTTGAAACTTATGAAATTCAATTCTGTTCAATAAAAAGAGGCGCCCTGTTCATTCCACATACTCGGAAAATAATATATCTTAATAACAAAGATAAAATAGAACAGTTAGTTTATACCTTTATCCCCTTTTGTTCTATCAAATTCTAGTGCATTTGAAAACTTCATATCATAAGAGGTGAAACATAACAATACACAATATCATAATAAGATATAATATAAAATAAACAATCACACCTGTAATTGTAATATGATCAATAAATATTATTAACAAGATTGCAGTTATAGAAGTAGGAGTAATAGTAATCAAAAATAATTATAATAAAAATAACAAAAATGTAACGCAGACTGAAAGTTTGCCTGTCAATTTTTCCCCCCAAGAAATGGAAAGAAAGAAAGAAAGAAGAAAAAAAAAAGAGAGAGAGACAGAGAGAGAGAGACAGACAGAGAGAGAGAGAGAAAGAGAGAGAAAGAGAGAGAGAGAGAAAGAGAGAGAGAGAGAAAGAGAGAGAGAAAGAGAGAGAGAAAAAGAGAGAGAGAGAGAAAGAGAGAGAGAGAAAAAGAGAGAGAGAGAGAAAGAGAGAGAGAGAGAAAGAGAGAGAGAGAGAAAGAAAACAACAACCGCAAACAAACAACCACACACGCACACCAGAAAAGTATTTGTGAACAAAGTTTACGACCAACTTTTACAACTACATTACCTTCAATGGCAAAATGTACAATTGACACAGTCCACTAATTACAATTGACAATTCTACAAAGCTGACCTTGACTTTCATTTACAAGAGTGCTTTTGTACTGTCTCTGAGAAAAAGAAAAAATAACAAAAATATTCTTAAATTTCATTAATATAAATATCACTGAACTGAAAAGAGTTAGGATTTGGGACCATAGGAACAGAAAATTCATACCCACAACAAAATTTGGAGAAGAGGATCTCTGGCTATAAATGCTTTTACCACAAAAATATGGGTCGGTGCTAAAAATCAACAACTCATTATTTACCAACAGTGTCTTTAATAAAAAATAAATATGAAATAAATACTGTTCAGTGACATTGAGATACAGCTCCAAAGCCACAGGAATTCATCAAGGAATTGAAGGAGAACATGGGCATGAAAGGAAGAAGCACACGGTTCAAAGGAATGAATATGGGATAAAAAATCTAATCAGAGGGTAACCAAATTGAAAAGGATTATTGGGAGAACAGCAGAAAGCTGAGCTACAAGTAGTATATACTTTTTAACAAGAGTTTTAAAATGATTAATCAGTCTTGCCTTTCTTTAATATTCCGGAATGAAAATACAAATAAATATTGAAACTAATATATCTTTCAAAATCTCATACCCAACACCACATGGGTTTTGAAAGGTAGGTTTTATTTGGTGTAGAACTTCCAAGTTTTACGACATCACAAATGTCAGTAATATACTTTCAAGTACAGATGCTTTACAGTAGTCTAGTTTTCTATATTTGTATATATATTTATATATGTATATATTTATATCGACATGAAAATCTATTGGTAAATAAATTTTCCATAGTATAAATAACTTACCCACAAAAGGATAAAATACGATAAATGAATAGAAGTATGTTGAACATTTTTTTCTTCCAAGCCAGGTGTAACAGCATCTGAGTTATGTAATCACAACATGATAATGTGATACAAAAGTATACAACCAGAAACTTCAAATTATTTTCGCATCCAGATATACTTATCTGGTAAGCTGGAATTAAATCAGTAGCACTATCTATGTAATAACAAGGATGATCATGATTATGATTATTCAGGCGAAGATTGCAATGATTGGTGCTTACTGTGGTGTTGTAATGCCAACACGGTAATGATGAAGATACTGACAATTATGGTTATGATGATACACCACACCGCTGAACCAAGATTAAGGTACCTCGGGAGAACTGTTCAAAAACCCGTAAGAGCCACAACCTTCCCCAATACCTATTCTGTGGCTGGGCCAGAAAATTTTATTAAACAAAGTTGCTACAAATTATCAATTTTAATAATATCCAAGCTATATACAGACATGATTTTGCTTCTTGCACACTATGTAACATTTAAAAACAATTGAAAGCGAATAATTCATTAAAAACGGTATACTTCTGTACATAAATAAAAGTTATCAACACAGACACTACCGCTTAGGAATTAGATTACTGCCTACCAGCAAGTGAACATGAAAATATTGAAGCTGAGGAAGGTAAAAGCAACTATATGAGGTATGAAGTTCTCAACAATGTCTCACAGCGCAAGACCTACTGCCACATCATTTCATATCATTATTAACCACTCTACATACATGACACACTGTTCCTTTTATAAGTATTATCACTTTCACTGATTCTAAGAGACCCATAAATAATGAATGATGTGAATAAAGAAAACTTGGGTGTTATGAAGGGTCTTTCAGAATACATGAAGGAAACGTATCACACATACCCTATCATCAGAAGAAACTTATAACAGATCACTTCCGAGGATGCGTATCCTCTGAGTCAAAAGAGTTTTTATATGCAAGTGACCTCAGGCTTGAGATCTTCGGCATTGTTTAACACAGGTAATGCTATAACTCATCAGGAGGCAAGTTTTTGGATTCCATTTACAATATATCTGATCTTACTTGAAAACGCACACTATTAGTGCCAGGTATATTTCATTCACTTTGGTAGTATTTAAAACAGAACTACAAACAAAAACAAATTCTAAATTGAAAAGTTTGAAAGTGACACAAAATCACAGCAACAAACTGCAAAAGCTACATCAAAAGTCTAAATTTACCTTAATACAATCTACAGTTCCTTTTAACTGTCTTTAACCTTCAAGAAAATTAGACACTTGCATCAAACAGTTTATGCTGCATCCTCATTTCGTTTTCTGTTGATTTTTTCTGGCATTCCATAAACCAAAACTGAAAAACATGTATACAAGGATTATTTACTATATTCCTGTCATTTAAAGTTAAAATTAATAGAGTGCAAACAATAAAGAAATGACAACACCAAAAAAATTTAGTGAAAATGTCATACCACCACTCTTCATTCATCATTGCGACGGCGTTTCTTAGCAGGTGCATCATCACTCAAATGTGATGAACATTCGGAGTCCACTTGCGAGATTTCCAGGCTCTTTCTCCTACGTAAACGTTCTTTCACAGCATTCAGCGTGTCCTCTCCATTTTCCTGGAAACCACTACCATCTGTTGCCTTGTCCTTTTTCACAGGAGAATCTTCTAGTTCTATCACTTGCACAGACGATTGCTTCTGTTGGAGTCTCTGCTTGAAGCGTTTGGGCCCTGGGGCACAAGACACCTTTGTTATAGTAATTTCATTACGACCCTGACCAGCAAATACAACTTCATCATCAGAGAGTTCAATGACATCAACCCCTGATTTATGTTCTTCTAAATAATCCAAAATAGACTGAGTGATGTGTCGACGTTTGCACGTAGGACAATCTTCCAAACGGCACACTTTAATGTCACAACGACGAAGATGACGTTGTCTCAAATGGTTTAGATATTGAGTAAAACCTGTCAGGCCATCAAAGGATGCCTCACACTTTTCACAGGAATATACCTTACCCATATTTTGCTGCATTATTGCAGATACAGCACCGGTTCGGCTAGCAGGACCAGGTCGAGGCCGCGCTGGTTGAGGAATGATTGTTATTTCATCGTTTATCTTAAGAGGCTTAAGAAGCGTTTCACTTGATTGTGGACGAGGAACTTGGGGACTTTTCTTGTCTATAACACGTTTAGCAACTACACTATGTGCAGAATAAACATGGTTCTCGAATTGCTTGTACATTCCAAATGTGGCTGTGCACACTGTGCACTTGTATGAGAGGTGGGCTGGCTTTAAAGACATATTATGGTCTCTAGCCACGTGGTTTAACAATTTCCACTGATAAACCTGCAACAGAAAAATTAAGAATGCTGTTAATGACAAAAAAAGACTGTATATCAATTAATGAAACCAATGACATGTAATATAATTAAAAACAGAGGGCAATATACACTATATCAATATAGATTAACAATACATAATAAAAAGGAAAGAAATGCACAGCACATTAAACTTAATTTGCATCACAATATTTCATATACTGAGTGCACTAGCAGTGTAAATAAATTACTAATAGATAATTCTATGAATTTGTTAGCATGGCATTGCCAATATTCTTTATCTACTAACCAATACCTACCCTGCCACATACTGGACAACGGCCGCCATCTTTGCCTTTATTAGCAGCTTCCTGCATACTTGATGTGACAAGACCGTGAGAACCAAGCAAATGCCTTTCCAAGCCTTGGTCAGTAAAGAAACGAAATTGACATTTTTGACAGTTCAATGGTGGCCTGTTATAAATCATTTTGGGATGTATTTTTACTTTATGTATCCACTGCATATGGTTACGTAATTGTTCCAAGTCCTAAACAAATTACATAGTAAATAAATATGTAGCAAGACTACTTCCACAAATTTTGTATGTCTTCCGTAAATAATTTACCTTTATATAGCCATCACATATCTCACAGATAACAAATGTTGCTTTATTTTGTGAATGCCCTGGATGGCCTGAATGTCCAACATGTTTTGGGTGCATTGCACTTCCAGGAGCCATTCCTGCTGGCTGCCTGGGTAAAGGTGTAATTGATATACTAGGCTGCTGCAATAGTTTGGCTGTTGGACTCTTACTTGCACTCTGAAACAAAGACAAATTTGAATTATATATACCAACAAACTTACATTAAAATTGCACAGTTCAAAAATCACACAAAAACTTTTATAATATGTTCAAGAAACATATTTATAATTACAGTTGACGAGAATCACCAGATCAATAATTAACTGAGAATAGCAACAATAGACCTAAAGTACCTAAATAGTACATGGATTTCGTGCTCACAAATCTTCAAACACTAATTGAAGTGGAAGTTTGAGATCTTTCAACAAATGGTTGCCAATTCTACAATGTCCATCTGTTTCGAAATTTTTTCTTTATCCTTTAAAATCATTTTTCTCCTTTATGAAGACATGTTATAATGGCCATGAAGAGATAAAGGTTCCAAGCACCAAAATTGAAAAGTGTAATTTTCCTAATTAGAAAAGGATTAGCACTATCTTCACAATACTACAAATTGGTGGCATCTGGTAATTAATTTGTCTACAATAGAAGTACAAGAAGTTCCAGTTGCATTGAAAAAACTAACATGTAATTGCATTCTTCGTTAGAACCACTCGCTGTACTGACATTATTCCATAATACAAGTACTCATACTAGTATTTCTAGTAACTAAGATTGTTTTGAAGGTTGTCAACATAACATTATATTAACTAATTTACTATAATGAATCTGGGGGTCACACAACATATCACATCAGGAAAGATGGCAAGGATTGAAAATAACTAGAAAAGTACAATCAGAAAGATGGGAAATCAGTGGTAGTTTTAATTTTAAATTCAACTGAACAACAATTGTTCTAAAATCGAAGACCGAAGAAGAACATACATTTATATACACTAGATTATAACAAAGAGATTTGAGAATACAACTATGTTAAGAATTATCATAGTTAACTAATTTTAAAAAATCTTCCTAATTTTCAAGAAGCCTCTAGGGAAAGTTTTTTAGTTTTTAACTAATTCTAACTACCCAGTCAAAATAAAATCACAAATTGTAATGATGAGAAGTTAAGCCCTTTTGTCAATATCACCACTTTCTTCTCCTCCTCATAAATCACCATCATTTTTGTCACTTAACTTCAACAGTAAAATTTTTTCTTACTAGTCTTTAGCCTTCCCTAGGTCTCCCCCTAAGTGTGTGTTTTGAAGAAGTATGCAATGCCTCATATGGCACACCTAAGAATATTCCACTCTTTGACCAAGTTTCTTTCTTCAATGCTCTTGTTCCTCTGCTTCCTTAATAACCGTAAACTCGTATTTTGCTTTATATAATGTGTGTTATCTAGATCTGGACTTCAAACTTTTAGATTCCCATTCCTTTACAAAATTTTAACAATGAGTTCCCACTCTTTTTCCACATTAACAAGGAAATATGTTCATTTAATAGTCATGCATTCCAGAAACACTTTTGTCCACTCCAAATCACCCGACAAGTGCAGTGGATGCAAAGAAAAGACTGGAAGTATACCATGGAATCAGGGACACCCACAGAAGAGGTCTAGGACAACACGCTCACTAGAGCCCTTTCTTTGAAACTAAAGACCCCCACCCCCACCACAAATACAGAATTAATTTACTTATAGAAACTACAGTTACTACAGTTAATTTGAATTAGTCAGAAATGTCTTTTTTATGCTTTGGAAAAAGAAAAGTGCATGGCCCCAATTAAGTAAGAGCTTGGGGCAAAGTTCCTCAGCTGACACCCTCCCTTTCTGAGTGCTGCTGCTTTAAACCCTGATAAAGGAGATTTCTGAGTGCTGCTGCTTTAAACTCTGATAAAGGAGATTTCTGAGTGCTGCTGCTTTAAACCCTGATAAAGGAGATTTCTGAGTGCTGCTGCTTTAAACCCGATAAAGGAGATTTCTGATGAAATAATTGTTGTTTTAAGTGGGAAATCAAAATGCAAGTTCATTTTATTATCTAAAGTTATCTTACATTTTAAATATTTTCAACTAGTATAATGTGAAGATTGTTGATTTGAAAAATCATAACACACTAAACTGTATACAGAAAGCCATTTTCATTCGATTTTTTAAATTAAAAGTGTGAAGCTGCGCATTTCTTTTACTTTCTCATACACAAAAGAGAGGAAAGTTTTATGATGTTGCCAAAAAATTGAAGTTGAGATTTTGACAAAAATTCAGGTCTTGGGAGTTCCCAAAACTAAACAAGGTGTTTGTTTAAACAACACCTGAGAACCTGAAACACATGTAAGCAATGCCAGCTCTTAAACCACACAGAGGTTTACTAATATGGATATTCTATGATCAATCTAACATATCACAGGCCATTGAATTTGAAATGTAGTTTCATTCTTGGGGTTAAGTTCATTCAAGCCCTTAAAACATTTTTAACATCTACTCAAAATTGGTACAAGCCTCCTTTCCGTTGTACTCTGAATTTTCAAAACTTGCAGAAGTTACAAATATTTAATGCAATTATGTGCTGTAGAAGAAGAGTTTCTTAATGAAATATGTTCAAAATTATATTTTAAATATTGTCATATTCAAATTTATTTAAATTGGGTATTTTTTGCATAGTTTTGAAAAGTTATTAATGAATACGCAAACAAAATTTCTATGAAAACGGCCACATCTTTTTGGTTTCGCTGTTGAATGAAATTAGGTTAAAAACAAAGCATATTTTTGATTTTCATTTAGTTTTAGGATTTTGAAAACTGCAAAAGTGCTTTCAAGCAGTGTTTACACTTCAATTACCAAAGGTGGAGATTTCTGAATATTAGACCTTTAAAACACTCCCCTTATAATATTCTCTAAATATAAGTTGTTTTCACGTAATTGAGTAGTATGGTGACAAAAGTTCAAATGGTTTGTGAACATGTTTTACACTTTTGTTGAAACTACACTTCTTGCTTAGGGCAAAACATTTCTAAAAATTATATCTTCAAATTATTTTATGTACAAGGTTTCGTGGAACGCTTTTTGTGTTTTTAATATTTTTTTTTAAAATGTTAACTTTGTAAAACATGTTAGGCCCATCAATATGAAGTTATTGATGCTTGAATTTAATTTTGCGTTAATTTCAAGGTCCTACTGGATACTAACCACACATGCAGGCTATGGGGG